CAAAACAAGAGATGAATACACCATCTCTGGGCCATGCCTCTTCCAGGGTCATCCGGGGACCCGTAGCCTTAGTAGCGACATCTGGGTGTCTGGGCTGCTTTCTGAAAATATTAATATTTATGAGATGATGGTATCTTCATTTGAATTCCCTAGATAGATCAATAATTAATATATTTACTAAAACCCAGACATGGCCTCATCAGAGTCCCATCCAAGCAGGCTCTATGCTTCCCGGCAACTCCACTCAACTTTCCAAAAATTCAGCACTCCTCTGCTAAAAACAGTCCAAGGTCCCTGCTCTATATTTTCTGCCTTTTCTTTTGTTTTAATGTCACATAATGTCAAAAAGGACTTCACGCAGGCCCTGTTTCTTTCAGGGTGGGTGCCAGGATACTAGAAAGGGAGGTGCGAATGTCTGGGCCCCTCACACAGGACACCAGATATGTCAACAGAACTGCCTCCTGTCCCAGGTCAGGTCAACCTCCATTTCCACTGCAGCTGTTTTCAGTCTTCACCCCCCTCCTCATGCCTTCCACACCCCCCAATTCTCACTTCAACATCAAATAGTATTTCCTACTTCGGAAAATAAGGGAACTTTTGTTGCAATGCCTTCCACAGATTCAGGACTTAAATGATCACTTTGCCCCCTCACCTCCTCCTGATTCCCATCCCTGACACAGCAAACGTTTCTGCACCCGGGACTCATTGGAAGGCCTCCCCGCTGCCTGGGCGGAGGGGCATCCATCTTTCTCTCCAAGGCCCACCCCTCCTCTGCCCCTGCTGCACTAACGGTCCCCTCTCTCTCTCCTGGCTCATTAATCTTTCTCTAGTTTTTTTTCCTAATTACATTAAACCTTCTGAAAATACAACATTCTCCATTCTTGGCTCAGCATCTGTGCATTTGGGGTTCCATCTCTACCATCCATCACGACAGCTCCTGCCGAAGACACCAGGGACCTTCTCATTGTTAAATCTAAGCCCATGTTCACGTCTCGCCTTAACTAACCTCTTGTAAGCATTTGGCACTGCCCATTATTGCTTCCTTTTCCTTTTTTTTTTCTTAAATACTCTCTACTCTTTTGGCTTCCACATGCCATTTCCCGCTACATTTCCTCCTGCTTCTGGGGTCCTTCCTTCCTCCTGCATTTGCAGGTTCATCCTTGGATGCTGGTAACCCTCCTCCCACCAAACCCCGAGCTGCTATCTCCTCTCTTCACACTCGAGGTATTTCTGCTAGGGATGACATCGACTCTACAGCTTTAACTACTACTTACACATCGACAAATCCAAAATCTAAATGCTCGGCCTAAACCTCTCCCCCGAATTTCAGTTAGAATGTCCAAAAGTGGGACAGCTCCATGTAAATTTCCCACAGGCACCTCCAAGTTAAAGTGTCCCTAACTTTATTCCCACTGCAGCCGTTACCTTGTTTCCAGTCCTCATAATTGTTCATGGGGATCCCTTCAATGACCAATTTGTTCAAGGCTTCAGTTTTCTTTCTTACACTTGACCTCTTTTTCTAATTTTTTCACAATGGAAACTTACTAATAATACATTCAGTACAAATAATAAAACACTGTTTTTAAATAAAGTCCATGCGACATTCCTGCCCAATAGTTCATGGTTGTCCAACTCTGTGAGTGGGCTGGACCAGCTTATGGAACTGGATGCTCTAATCAGGCCCCCAGAGTCTGTCTGTTTCCACCTTCCCTTGTCACCTAACATGATCGTTTGAGCAGAAGATGATTCATGGGCAGGGTAGCAGGAAACCCAAGACTCAAGAGTCAAAGTTGAAACCCTATTTCTGCTAAAAAGCTGTGTGACGTGAACAAGTCACTTAGTCTCTGAGCCTGTTTCCTCACTGGGGACATGAGGATAATATCACCTGCATCACAAGCCTAATGAAGGCACAATAAGGTGTCTTATGTGACAGTGCTCTAGCACGGCTCCTTCCAAGAGTAAGCTCTGAACCATGGATCATAACAGAAAAATATCTATTACTTATTTTAGCGCCTAACTCCGAAAATATGTGTTCCCTTATGCTGCAATGTATCTTTGCCTTAAATTATTTCTAAGCTTTTATAGACTCATCTTATCTCCCCAGCTTGTTAACTATCTTAAAAGGTGGAGTCACGCCTCCCTCCTCAGTGCAGTTCCCTTGGATGGTGTCTACAAATTCGCAGATAACTAACATGGGCTTGTGCTCCGCCCTCCCACTAGACCTGGAACTTGCGTTTGAGGCTATGAGAACAGACAAGGATTTTTAAAAAGAGGAGACAACAGAGGCATGCGGGCGTGGGGGGATGAGGGCAGGGCACGGCACACCTTACCTTTGCATTGCAGACCCTGCCGCAAGAGGCCCCAGAGCAGGGACCCACAGTGGTCGCAGAAGGTGGGTACCTTGTAGTTGTGGATACCAAACTTGTGGGGCATGTTGACACTGAACCGCTGGGAGCCCACCTGCAGGGATGGCAAAACACAGGGTCACGGCCAAGCTCCTAGGTGCCCTGAAATGCTACAGAACTGACTGCAGGTGGCAGGCCCTCGCTCGGCTCTGAAAGGTGCTCTGAGAAAAGAGGTAAAGAGTCTCCCTCCTGGCCCAGGCCTTTGCTCCTGATGCCTTTAACCCATTCTCTGCCGCTCTGTTTCCCTCTGCCAGGCCAGGCCCGCTCCCTCATGCAGTCCCCTCTAGGACTTCAGGCCTCTGACTCTCACGGCACCCAGCACTCAATCTGCTCCTCACACTTTGGCCATTAATGAGACGTCACCACGTGCTTGCAATGCTGCTTTGTGCATGGAAGCCTTGCTTAGGCAGTCGTTTAGTGGACACAGACTTCTATAAACACCCTGAAAGCCCCAGCCCAGCTTGGGAACTCTAGGTCATCAGTTATGACAAACCATGGTGGTGAAGATTGCTAATACAGGTTGGCGACCACAAGAGTGCTCAGGTATTGGTGCTGACCACAGGCCGGGCACTGCCAGCTCAGTGAAACCTCCCCCTCACTCTGTGGGGCAGGCGCCATTTTTATCCCGAGTTTACAGATGAGGACATTAAAGGGGCAGTGAGACTAGGAAACGTGGCTATAAGCTGGTGAGTGGCAGAGCCAGGATTCGATGCCCACAAGTCTGAATTCAGGGCCCAGGACTTTTAACCTCTATGCTGCCACTGACTAATTATTTAAAAGGAGTCAAGAGGAGGTGGTGAGGTGGATGGGAGGGGTGATGAAGAGGAATCCAGGTATCTGATCGTTAGGCCTGGGTTTACCACAAGCCGCTCGGGATGTCTCAGGCCAGTTTCCTGACTTCTTGGGGCTTCAGATTCCTTATCTGGCAAGTGAGGATGGCATCCCTGTCCCACCTAATGTCACAGGATCATGGGGTCAATGAGACACCAGAGGTGGAAGAAGAGGGAAACATTAAGCGTCCCACAGGAGCAAGGCGTCTTCAGCATTATCTGCCTCTCTGCGTCTCCTTGCCCCTTCCCTCTCCAGTGGAGCAGCCACACGAACCAGGTCCCTCTCAGAACACACCGGGGACCATCACCCCAGGCCCCTGCAGGCTGGGGAGAAAGTCACTCTTGCTATCCTAGGCATTAGCGAGTGAAAAGCATGTAGCAAAGAAGTTATCCTTGGCTCAGTGCTGACTGGTGAGTGAAAGGCCCCCATTGGGGACTAAGAAGGAGGGAGGATGAGAGCTGGACCTAACATGGACACTGATGTAGACATGGACCTGAACACAAACATGCCCAGGGTCACGCGACTTCATAATGAGCTCCCTATCGCTCAGAAATAAGGAATGTTACTGACCCCTGCTTGAGATGCATGTGATGTCAATCAGGGCCTTACCCTAGTACAAGAGTCCCAGATTTACTGAAAACAATCATGCCCACTCCTTCTTAGATTCGTAGGTTAGGTGTGTCTATTTGTGAATGTAGTCATGTTAACGCTACGTCCTCCTGCTCAGCCTGAAGGACATAAGAGGTCACTGTGCTCACTCTATTCCTGCAAATGCTAAAGACATAGTGGACCTAGACTGCGACTAGAGTCATGGTTTCCCAGGCATAGCCTCAGAGGAATGTGGATGACAGATGAAAGTGAAGACATGGGGAAGAGTGCCAGGTGACTAAAAGGGTTAGTGTGGGGCAGGAGAACTGTGTGATCCTCAGTTGTGACCATGAAGGACTTTAAGGTTTCAGAAAATGCGGGGAGGAAGATGATGAGCATATGTAAGAGCAAGCCACAGAATCAGAGCAACTGCAAAACAAACACAGGGGCCACACGCATGTGTCACGCCACTCCAACTGAGGGAGGCTCAGAAACAGAGGCATGAGTCAGGCAAACAGAGAGGGCACGGAGGAAGAAAAGGCCAGAAAGATGGAAATGGAAGGTTTAAAAAAGAAGGAAGGAAGGAAAGGAAGGTGACACAGAGAGCATTCTTTGGTCACCGCACCTGAGAGTGCAGGGAGGAATGTGAGTCCTCAGTGCTAACACACACATACGACAGGGCAAGTGCATTGGCCAACTGCTCACAGTACAAAAATTCCAAGGAGCCCATCGGCAGAGCACCTTTAATGGGAAGATATTAGACACGTGGTATTTAGAGCTAGTGTGTTTGGGGTGTGTATGTGTACGTATGATATGTGTGTATGTGCATCACACTGCAGGTGGTTAAACAAAAGAATGAACTCAAAGGGTGGTCCCCAGCAGTGCCGTGCCTGGCAGAGGGCACATCCATTGCCCTGATGGCCCAGAGATACACCAACCCTAAAAGAGACTGGCCTCGGGGAGCACGAAGGGAGGCTAAGAAACGCAAAGCCCCCTTCCTCAATCCCTGGCAATTTACCTCTCTTGGGACACATGCCAAGTTTGAGAATGCACCCTACTGGTGACTTCTTTTCAGTATGCCAGGAAAGACAGTCAGAAGAACTAGGTCACAGATTAAGCTGGCTTGTGTGCATTTCAAATCCTTTAGCGTGCATGGCACGGACTCCCATGGGGCTCTTCCTTCTAAGAAGGTGTGAAAGAGCTTTGGAAACCTGCAGAGGTTCTCAGCTGAAGAAATCTGTGAGATCCTTGAGGACAGGAATCGTGTATTCCCCTTTGTTTCTGTGGGACATGGCATAATAGCTGGCACACAGGAAGTGTTCAATAGATGCTCAATGGACTGCCCATAGGAAGGAATAAAGCCAGCCAGCAAGCAAGCCATCTTTTTCTTTCATTTGCTTGTAAAAGTAATGAGGGTAACAACATACTTTGGGTTATGATCCTAGACCAGGAGTCAAGGAGACTCAGGTGGTGAAAACCTGCAATTTCACCCACGACAGGAGAAACCCAGCAAACAATTTTGGTGCTCTGAGCTGTCTGCCCTTTGGGGACATGGAAGGTTCAATCTAAGCCATGTCCCTTGCTCCATTCCAGAGATTGTGTGAAAGCAAAAGGAAATAAAAGATGGGACATGCTTTGGATGCCAAGATGCCATTTGGTTGAATTATTTTTAAGAAGCAGGTAGGTCTTTGTAAGTCTGTCTTTTTGGAAGCCAAATTATAAACCCACCTGATTATAAACCCACCCAGGGCCACTGTCTCTGACCCTCCAATTCTAATGACCTATGATTATACAGTATTTATTTATTTCACCAAGAATTAAAAGCATGGCTTTGAAATCAACTACTGTGAATACAGACAACACCTACACTCATATACACACCCTTCTCCCAATCGCTCAATTAGGGGAAACCTAGCTTCACTGTTGAATTTTCTCGCTTCTTTACCCCTAGCAACTTCCCTAATAGTCAATCTGATACTAGTTTGAAAGATTAAGAGACAACATAGTGCCGTGGTGAAGGGCTCAGACCCTGGAACGGGCTACCTGGATTTGAACTCTTTCACATATTAGCTGTGTGATTTGGGGCAAGTTAATTTGACATCTCTTTGCTTCTATTCTTTCTGTTGTAAAATGAAGATGATAAAATCTTTGATCACATGTTATGGGATTAAATAATATAAGATCAAGTGCTTAAATCAGAGCATGGTAGGTACCCAGTGAAAGTTGGCTATTGTTATTATTGGGGTTATTTCCTCCTCCTAAGTGTTTCTTGGGTTTGCTAATTCCACTCCATTCCCCCCATCACCTCATAAAGATAAGGTTCCTGCTTGTGTGTTGTGTCTCTAACTGTTTATGAGCTGTGTGGAGCCATTGACATGTCAGTTAGTTAGCTGCTTCACTGTTCCGATAATGACATAAAAGAATTCACATTTTCCTTGTGGGAATCTGGGCTCACACAGCTTTTGGCATAATATCCACAGATGTAAAACTGACTTTGAACCATGCTCATTTTGTAGACTGTACCTCATGCCAGAGGGCTGTGGACAACTCCCTTAATTCTTGATCAACACAAGGAAGAAAGCAATGGATTCTCAGAGAGATAAGGATTTTCGTAGGGACCATGGAGGAGGCAGTGGAGGGCGGGGATGGCAATGAAGAAAGCGCAGCATTTCAATGTTATAAATATTTACCTCGTCAGGAGTTTCCTGTTTCTTTAATCCAGCACACTTCGTAATTATGAGCTCATGGCATCGCTTGTGGACCACGCAAGTGCAAACTGCAAACAGCAAAAGAAAGAATGGGAAGACAGAGCGACTGGTGGGGGGAGGAAGGTTCCGCCCCAAGATTTAATCGGGTTTCGGTGAAGAGGCGAGGGGAGCCATACCCCATCTGTCACCAAGTCTTAATGTAATACCCTAGCAGAATCCCTTCACGCAGGCTTTTCAAAGCCCTTTGCCATCAGAACCATCACTGTTCCTTAAATGCGCTGGAGAAGAATGAACCATTTATATCCAAAGGGCATCAGCAGTATTCTCTAGTTGCAAGAGTACCAATCAGTTTTACTGCTTCTATAGGCCGAGGTCAGGGAACAAGGTCCCTTGCATGAAGCACTGTCTATTAAAGGCATTGCAGCCATCTTGTGCTCCACTCAGGGTCATGTCAGGGTTGACTGGTGTGTTAGGGAGCACGGCAGCAGGAGAATGGATGTTTTGTGGCACAGCAGTTCTTAAGCTTTTGATCTGATTGTGCCCTTACATGCCAAACTTAAAACTTTTCATTTAATTTAATATCTCCACAAGAAGTGGCCTGTAGCTCTATCTTTTCTGTCATGGGGCAGTGTAGGCAGTAAACGGCTGAAGGGGTCAGTAACTGTTGGCGCACATACTACCCCAAGAACACATCAATGTCCAAAAGAGCCTACCCCAGTTAACCCGTGGCTGGGTGAGGAGACAGAATGGTCTCCACACGACCACATCACATATCCACCCTCCGATTCTGGGCAACTTAACCTTGCATTTGTAGTCAATCAACTGAGAACAAACAAACTTCCATCACTTCAAGTGAGTTTTAAATGTTTCAAAGCTAATGATTCCATAGTAGAGACAAAAAAGAGAACCAGCAAAGACCATTCAGTAATAATAAAGCAGGTGAGGGAGCTCTTTCACGGAGCGAGAGAGTAAGTGAGCTGACGGAACACCCAGAACAATGTTCAGTACCCAGCGCGACCTTCAAAGGGCCTCCAATTGAAGCATGTGTCTCACTTGGAAAGATGTGAGTGCCACCTACAAGCAGGCTAGACTCCTGGGACACCCGCAGATAGGTGGTACCTACAAGGTACTCCCATACATCTATTCCCATATGTATAATGTGGGAGTAATGGCCAGACAGGGACGAAGAAAACCAGGGTCCTGCTTCTCAAAGAGGGAGCATGAGCATCTAAATATCATCAAACCCAGCACACGTCTCCTACGAGCGAGCGCTAGTGATCTGCACTGGTCTGTGGGACCCCAACGATTTAGTTCTTACAGTACCCCTTACCTTGACATTGGTATCCCTGCTTTCCTATGACACCCCTGAAAAGAAAAATACAGCCCTTTAAGAAAATTTTAGTAGGTCAAATGCAACACAGTCACCCCATTCTGGTCACCACCCACAATGCACCAAGTATGCTGGAGTCTACCTAGCAGCGTGATTTCACTCCCACTTGCAGGGTGCCTTAAAATGACTCCTTCAGAAAGCCACAGAGGGCAGCCCCAGTGCTTGGAATGGGTGCAAGGTTTGGTCAGTATCAGAGCTTGGTTTCCTATACAAACAGCCATTCCAGTGCGACCAGCAGTGCTCTGGGACAGCCAAAAACTCTGCTTGTTTTCAGAGGGCCTCAATGAGTCCAATGTGCCCTTCCCTGTGGATAATCGTGGAGGGCTGCAGCTGGCAGGCACATTGCCTGGTATTCCAGAAGCAGTCAGGGGTTTTAGGTCAGTCTAGGGCCAGCACTGGGAGTTCAAGCCACCATTTGGGTAAAGGCCAACATTAGAGGTTCCTTCCATGGTCAGGATAGGGTCCTCTGGGGCCAGTTTAAATGTCAGCATGGACGCAGGACAATTCAGTCAACCTGGCTGAGCCCTGTCCTCAGCGCACCAACAACTGGTCAGGGGGCTCCCTAGAATTCCAAGCCCAGTGGGAGGAGACAGAAGTCATTTAGTCATTGGGGCTATTCCCCAGGAAACCTAGAGCTCAGTGGGGTTCGCCATGGGCTTAGAAGGGACCTGAATCTGTAAGACTCAGCTTTGAGAGCCCACTCCCTCCAGCACACAATTCATGGACAAAATGCAGAAAATGGAAGTCAGAGGGTTGAGTCAGCCCTGAGAATGAGACCCGTCTGTGGGAGGGAGAGGGGGGTGACTTCTACTTCAGTTGAGTTTGCTCTGAGCTGTGTCACCTCAGATGTCTATGCCAACCACAGTGACTGGTTCTGGGACACCATGAGGATAAGACTAGCCACTCCTGGACACCCTGGAAACCCAGGGGGGTCCTCAGAGTACAATTCAAACATTCCTCGACTGGGTTCACGCTGCAATTTGGCCTCCCTCACTCTCCCTCACTGGATCCAAGTGTGTTGGCAAACTTTAGTCAGTTTCAGAGAGCTCACAGAGGTTGCCAGAAGGGCTGGTGGAATGTCAGGAAAAGCATGAGCTTTTAGTTGTGCTCACCAGGGGTGGAATCAGGCCTCTGACACTTCCCAGCTGGAGGATTTCAGACTAGTGTCGTTTTCATTTCTGAGCCTCAGTACTGTCCTTAGTGGAATGTGGTTCATAACACATAGCTCATAGGATACTGGGACAATTTAATTAGAGTTCCAGTGCCTAAGAGAGAACCTGGCACATGGTAGGTATTCATTAAAATCCCCCTTCCAATTCCCAAGGCAAGTGCTCCTTATCCTTCTCCACCTTCCACACAGACTACTACTTACCTATATATGCCTATCAAAACCCTAGTCATCATGAAAGAAGAAATGCCACTTCCTCCAGGAAGCCTTCCCTGAGCCCTTCAGCCAATGTTGCTCTCTCATTCCTCTGAAACCTCAGCATCCTAGCAGCAGTTGCAACAGTTACTAAGAACTGCTTTGTATTACAGATGTTGGCAAGAGAGTATTTTATAACTTCGTTATGAAATGATTCAAGTGTATATAAAAGTAGGGAGATGAATAATGGACCCTCATGTACCCATCATCCAGCTCCAACAATGATCAGTACATGGCTAGTCTTGTTTTATCTCTACCCCAGCCACTCCCACCTCCTTCCAGCTTATTGTTTTCTAACAAATTGCAGAATCATATTATTTTATTGTAAATAATTCAGTTTGTCTCTCTGAAGACGAGGATCATTTTAAAAGAAGCCACAATACCATTATTGGTTATCAAGTCTTAACTCCTTAAATATGATATATGATATGATCCTAAGTATAAAATCACCCAGAACTACAGTTTCTTCTTTCCATTTATCTCCCCAAGGACCAAACACTCACTTAGCCTTTCAGAAAAGTCTTCTGCAATCAAATAAAGAAAAAATAAGGCACCTTTTACATGAAGTTTCTAACCTCCCAACTTCTCACCACAGAGAAAGCATAACTAGAAGTTTCAGGAGAGAAGGCCTTACCAGATAAAATCTCTGCAGTGGGAGCAGTAGGTGGGCTGCCGAAGATAGGTGGCCATGAACTTGTGGCCGTTGACCTGGTGGACTCTGCGCCTGACAGCCCCCTGCCGCTTCCTGGGCCGCATGCGCTCCCTGAACACGCGCTCTTCATTGTCTTTAGGGGCTGGGGAAGGACAAGAGCAGAGAAAAAAAACACAGTCTGGGTTAGCACACCTTGAAAGTGACCTGCAGGAGAGCTATTCCACCCTCGGGAGCCTGGAGGTGGGACGGGACATGGGGGCAGCCTTTGCTGGTGGAGGGATTTGGGGGTCTGAGGAACCTCACTGCTCAGCTCTGGTGAGAGAGCCAGAACCACATGGGGTGGGAAGGCCCAGACTGTGCAATTTCCTACACCAGCTGCACTCTCAGTGTCCATCTCAATCTCAGTTCTGTTCCAGCCATGGCTATTCCACTCCTATGCCAGCTACACATTGCAAGGGTGTGTGGTCAAAAGGCTCAGGGTTCAAATCTTACTGAATCTTCTGAGCAGTGTGACCTTGGACAGCTTGTGTCCCCTTGCCCTGAGCCTCTGTGGGTATCGCTCTCTGTAAATGGGGATAACAGTGCCCACCCTGTGGGGCACTGTGGAGTTAGTGGTGTGGCTTCCATCCACACCCAGCCAGGCTCAGAGAAGTGGCTGTCTAATAAACCTGACTTATCTTCCTTTTGCCTCTTACCTATACTAGGACAATGAGGAGGCTTTTCCCAAAGGTCAGAAGGAGAGGGAAGTATAATACTATGAAAGCAGAGAGTTTCTAGAATACTGAAGATCCACCATCATGTTGGCCGTCTACAAGCCAAGGAGAGGGCCCTCACCAGAACCCAACCATACTAGCTAGTATCTTGATCTGGGACTTCAAGGCTTTAGAACTGGGAGAGAGAAATTTCTACTGTTTAAGCCACCCAGCTTGTGCTATATTATTAAGGCAGCCTAAGCTGACTAATACAGTGATGATAATGGCTCACATTGATCAAAGACTCACTCTGTAGCAGAGTATGTTAAGTGCATTATGTGTAGTAACTCACTGAACCTTCACAACAACCCTACTTGAAGGGTACTGCTATTATCCCCATTATGCAGGTGTGCAAACTGAGGAAGAGAGAGTTTAAGTAACCTGTTCCTATTAACACAGCTATTAAGTGGTGGAGCCCGGATTTAGATCCAGAAAGCAGGGAAGAAGCCAACATTCCACTGTCCACACAATGCTTTGAGGAACAGCCCACTCTCCGACAGCAAGGCCCCAAAGCTCTCATCTGAGTGGCTCTCATTACGGAAGAGTCAAGCTGCCTGTGGCTTTCCCAATGGCAGGGCAGGTAGGCTCTGGGTCTCCTACCAGGCTCCTAACACTAGTGTAGGCTCCGGAAGGTCATCTGCACCGCACAGCTTAAAATGCACTGGGAAGGCTCTGTGCCCCCCAAATACTCCCCACACCAGACAACCCACCACAACAGTGTCAGTCCTTTGGGGAGAAGCATTGCCCCTCTAGGAAATCTCTTTGAAAATAAGGTTCCCTCAAGTGAAGGTCACATGTGTGAGCCAAGCAGCTGTTCAGTCCAAGGGCATCTTTTCAGTGCAGAATGGGTAGGGGTGGAGGGAAAGTAAAACTAAAGGGGGAAAAAGGCAAGAATGGGCTTTCAGGGGGAAGCAGCCTCCAGGCCGACTGGCAGAGCTGTGGACTGGGAGGCTGCATCCTCAGCAGAGGTGGGTCTGCTTGTGGGCCCCCTGCTCCCATCCCCCAGCCTGCCTGCATTCCCTTTTCAACTCCTGCTAATTGTTTCAAAATGTCTCCAACACTGACTGCCTTCTGGGTGTGGAAACCCACCACCTCCTACCCTGCCACAACCTAGGGACCAAGGCCAGCTGACCAAATTCTCACTGTGAAGATCCCAGTTCTGTTTTAACATAGAGACATCTACACACACACACACACACACACACACACACACACACGCAGACATATGGCAATCATCACTCAACTGTGCAATCATAGGCAATTTTCATTTTTGCTTCATACTTTTCACTGTATTTAGAATATTCTACTATTTTATAAGGTGGAAAATAAATGTGGTGATTTAAAAAAACAAATCTATTCAGTAGCCCTTACTTGCTACAAACTTGATCTACAAAAACCCAAATGAAAAATCCAGTCATGGGCGGGTTAGGCCAGAGGACGGCAATTCTTTTTGTAAAAGGCATCCTTTGAATTCTTCCACAGAAGATTCACCATGGAATATATTTAAACAGTAAGTCAGCTTCCTAATGCATTTAAGATGCAATTTGACTTACAAACCCCTCAAATTTACTAGTCACTTTGATCCTGGGAAATTGTATTTTCAGTTAAAGTGGCGATGATTACAATCTAGTTTTCTCAAGGGGGCACTGCTGTAATGGGGTTATAGTCGTCCCTGAAGGCCTTATTTCTCAACTTTTTACAGAAATGATCAGCAGCCAAATGTTCTAAACTATGTTTACATTGATTTAATAGGTAAATGCAGCAACCAATTATTTGAACTCCATTTACTCTTCAAGACCTCTTGGTGAAGTGTACTGACACCTGGAGAGAAGCTGCTTATAATTTGGGGGCGAGGGGAGGGTCTTGGGGGCAGGTTAGACAGAGAGCCAAGAATAACTCCTGCGAAGTCATGGTCTGATTGAACATTCCCAAAGGGTTCTGTTACTCCTGCCCATCCGCACTGCCTTTTAAGTCAGGCTTTATGTCAAAGGTGCAGGGAAACAGCGGGCTACAGGAAAAGAAGAACATAAGTAAGCTTCATGCTCCCAGTGAGCACCCCCGACCCCCAGGCTGTGTGTGAGCAGCAGCCGTACAGGCGACAGGAAACAGGGGAGCAGAGTCCAGCCGGAGCATCTTTGCGCCCATCAACCACACGCAGAGAAGGAACAGTCTAGATCATGTGAGGAAGGGAGCCCCAGGGTTCCCCAGCCTCCGAGAATGACACTGCTGGGGACTGGAGTCACCAGCAGAAACTGGTCCTTTCAGATTTCCCACTGCTGTGAAGGGTCTCTATTAAAATGCAGCTCCCACAGGGAGGGGTAATGCATCACGTGTGGGTGTAGGTGTGTATGTGAGGTGAGTTGACAAATGGATTTATAAACGTAT